TGGATGATTCATCGCTGCCTTCCATGATGCGCTGGTTTCTGTCATCTCGCATGTTTATTCATTGTAGCAAATTGGTAATATCGCTGACATACTAGTTCATGCGCATCGATTTCCAAGATGCACAGATTCGGCGATTTCGTAAAACGCTGATGAAAGTATATTTGCTCCAGAGATTTTGACGAATGATGATGGGACATTATCTCAGAACCGTGTGCCTGACCTCATTTCATTTTCCAATCATTATCTCAAGCAAAAAGATAACTCAGTATCAGAGTATTCCGGTAAATTTTATCCAGATTTATCGATTGATGTTACAATTACCAAGGAAGTGCCAATAGACGTTAGATTCTATTGGAGCACAGGGTGACGTGTAAGCTTTTCATATACACATTGATGTTTAATAAAACATTGTTCGACCTCGGTTAAACATTTCAGCTCTCCATATGTTCTTCCGCAATCCGCCTTGCAACTAATAGTTCTGCTTGGATAAGACGATATTTACTCAATTCCTTCAGGGAGCTAATATATCTCCATCGAATAGGATGCACACTGAACACCGACGACTGGTCGCCCCTGCTTGTGAATCGAAATGTTTGGATTTGAGGTCTGGCATAAATCTGAATTCCTGTATCAGGTACTCGTATTTGCAAAAGCGAAAAAGCGTAGGATCTGCGACCGATCCCAGGACTATTTTCTTTCAGCATGCGATACGTGATTTCCCCAAGGTGTGAATGATCGTTGCACACGACCTGATCAACATTCCGAGTCGCATTCAAATCTTGCACACTTGACAAGTCACAAACCTGAGGATTGATTAGAGTATTATGAGGCAATTGCGAAACGCCGATTGTGATCTGATATGGGTGATGGCGAAGCGCTGAAGCGTTGTGCCAGCGACGCCGGCGCATGACTGGCGATTGTGAGCGGCCTGAGCTACCTGAAAATGGTAAGGTAACCGTGTCGATTTGATCAATTCCAACGCTAGAATCAGTAGAAGTAGATCGGATATCTTCCACTGTCAACTGGGTTACATCCCCTGGGGCTGCAACAGTTTCTGTAGGTACGTGTGCCACTGGAAATCTCATTGTTATTTCGGCAGTCCATCTTGATTGGTTTACGTGAAAATGATCGCTTCGGTATTGTAATACATTCTCGTTATTAGACACATTGGCCAAAGTGATGGTGACGGACTGTAATTCATGTGATTCTAGGTGGCGCAGAACGTTTGAGAAACAGTGGAAAGTTTCGCGCATGGTTTGTTCGCGTTTCTTGAATTTATTAATCAGCCAGTCTAGATTATTTCCAATTGGATGTTCTGACAGCTGTTTTCTTAGTAGGCACTGATGAAAATGGATGTCATATTGGTCTGCGAATCCAATCCATTCGCAGCCCAGGGAAGATAAACCACAAGCGACTCTACGCTTCGGGCAGGAGTTCAGACGATGACTTGGCAAGGATTTGTGCAACATTTGGGTGTTACAATCAACACACATATCTGGAAGCTCTGATAATACCTTTTGTGCTATCAAGGCCCTACGGCTATCGGAATATAGGTTGGCACGGCAAGTTGGACACTGTGGCCTTTCATCTTGTCTGAGTGTAAGAAAACAGTTTTGACAAATCAAATGTCCATTGGTACATTCTTTCATGATTGTGTAACTGGAATAGCATGCACAACACGAGATAACTTCTCTGATAGCTCGTAAAATGCGCCCGTACTTAGCGTCATCGAGGCTGCCATATTCAAACTGACCAACGGTGTTAGGAGTGTCCTCTATAGCCTCATCGGATATTGCACTGGAGGCAGCATCAGAATTCAGTGATCCGGAAACTGTTGAGAAACCGATTGTTTCTTGATGCGCATCGGTGTTGATGGTTAAATCGTTGACTCCTGGCTGGTTCTCAGAGGAACTCTGGTTGTTCCCAACCCCCAGATTTCTGACGCTACCCATTGGTACTCTTGTTGCAGATGGTCGTAGCGCCGGCGCTTGCGCGAATGTTCGACGCAATCTACGCATGTGAACAGCTGACCAGTGAGGTGATAGCCAACACTGAGAAACGTCGTACTTTGAAAGAACAAATCAATGAATCCTTCAGAATAATCGATATTGTCCCATCCTAGACTGAGGCCATACCTCACAGTCTGCTGATGTGTAATTCTGTGTTCCAAAGTGAGATGTCTATTTTACATGATGTCAATTTCAATAGCATTTCCCAAACTTCCAATTGTCTTTACGACAACCTGTGGGTTTGCCTGTCTCAGTTATGGTGAATAGAGTTTTCTGACTGGGCTTTAGTGCTCGGTATCCGTAAGTGAATTTTAGGAAGCTAAAGATTAACGCTAACTGCTTCGATGCGTCAATATTCTGACATAAGTACCGACTGTACCGAAGCAGATAGTAGTTAATTTAGGGCAAAATATTTGTGAATACAAAGTGCACCATAGATAGTATCTGGCGGTGGCAAACTGTGACTAGAAGCAGATGGTTGACATGTTCTCCAAGCTGGGCATTTCTGTTGCAGTTTCGTTTCCAGACTAGACGGAGTCTCACTAGTCGCTGTCAGCGTAATTCACTAAGTAGATCCAAATAAGGAAATAAACATTCTTGATCATATGAAAATATTATGGTGTAGCTCATCCCAACTTGGAATTCTTGATATTAAGTTAGTGCATCAGAATATTTGGTTCCGTATGATATTGTGCTAGTAACCAGCAAATAACTGACGAAATAAAGATAGCTTCTTTGCTGAATGAAGCAAGGCTTTTCTGAATGTTGACATTAAAATGTTGGTACAGTGTCAACAAGTTCTTTCACCAAGATTAGTTAGCCTATCTAGGTGGAGCCATAGCGTTTATATAACCCTGCTGTATTTTGCTACAAACATTCAAAGTCTATGCAGTGTATAACATTAAGGGTTGTTGAACTGCATCAGAACCAAGTGTTACTTCAACTTTCGATTCAATCATCCTTGACATCAGTTAACCGGCAAGAGCTTTTGTATTAATGTCTAGTCAGTGGGCCGCAGTAAAGGGGAGGAGTTTTCCTGGGTCATTTGCTGGCGACCGAATAGCCGTCGTATTGGTTTCTTGAATCAATTCCAATCCTGCTGATGGGCTGCTCACATTGTAGCCACCAGAGTGTGATTATTCATAGAATCCAGCCTATAGCGCGATCGATAGACGGACGCTATATTCTCATAACCAACCAGACGTATAGAAAAGTAAAAGGGCTAGTAAAATAAGCGAAGGATATGTTTATTGCTGAAACAGACGGTCGCATTAGACTGAAAGGCACCTTCGAAAGAATAGCTAGTGGAGAGGATTGCAAAATTGTTCCGGGGGCGAAGCAGACGGCGTTTGGGATCCCTTCCGGATGTGTGTATCAGGACTGGCAGGTGCCTGAACCCGCGCTCACCATTGCTGGACATGTTCTGGAGCAAGTCCCTTGCTTTACTTATCTAGGGAGTTGCATCACGGCTGGTGGCGGTGTTGGAGAGGAAGTCTCACAACGGATTGCAAAGGCCCGCCTTGCATTCATCAAACTGAGACACCTATGGCGTCGTCGTGATGTCAGTCTCAAGCTCAAGGGCAGGGTGTACAATGCTTCCGTCCGTGCAGTACTCTTGTACGGCTGTGAGACTTGGCCTATTCGCTCGGAAGATATGAAGCGGCTGTCAGTTTTGACAATCGCTGTCTACGAAGAATTGCCAGGGTGTGGTGGCAACACCACGTAAGCAACGCAGAGGTGCGAGACCGCGTGCTTGGGACAAATAGTGCCAGTCTTCAGGACGTTATTCTCCGACATCGCATGCGTTGGCTCGGGCACGTTCTGCGCATGCCAGCCCATCGCCTTCCACGTCGAGCGCTATTTGCACTCCCAGGGAGCGATTGGAAAAAGTGCCGCAGTGGACAGCCGATGACGTGGAGAAGGAGTCTGAAGAAGGCAACCTCAAGTTTGGCGGCAGTCGGACCAGTCCGCCTTCCAGGTTGTGGACCACGAGATGCTGAATCGCAGTGGTTGGAAACATTAGACGTCATGGCCCGCAACAGACATCAGTGGCGTCAATGTTGTTCTGCAATTTCATCATCCCTTTGATGCACACAAAACTCACAAAACAAAACAAAAATACAAAATGGAGTGTGTAAAGCCAAAAAATCGTTTCCCATATTTTTTAATCGCATTAGTGTTCCCATTTTCTTTACTTTTTTTCTTCTGCCATGGTTCGGATGGCACAATGTCTGTTAACAGACTGTGAATAAAAAAAGTGTATCAAGAAAGGTAGCGACGTGACAGACCAACTCCCTACTTTAACTGGGTACATAATGTAACTATACTTTTGTAATATTTGACAATTCGCAGGGGGCCATCGTTTTTTGCTACAAGCTGCCCCCAACTTTGTAACTACATGATTCACTGGATTCTAGACGAACTGCGAAGGCTTGCCGTCACCCCGAATATATATCTCAAAAGAAATATTTAGTGTCACTAATGCGAATCGTAAATCATCATTGGCGATGCCCAGTTTACTATCCACATTCACACTGCTTATTATGAATCGTTTTACGAAGCACAGTAGCTCTAAGTAGAGGAACTCAATTCGTTACCCACATTATTCTATCAATTAAATAAATTGTGAGATAGGTGCAAATGTATAGAGGATTGTGATTCATTACTTGGTCACCTCTTCTCAAGCTACTGCAATGTAATCGTTGCGTTGACAACTCAATGTGTATTTGTTGAGCCTAGATGGGAAACACAATTAGGATGTCATCAGCAATGACATACGGAATGGTAAGCACATCTGTGTGCGCCTACCATTCCTGAACGCATATTTGACGACGGTGGTTCGAACATATTTGATAATAAGTTAAAGCTGCAGAATATTTGGCTTCGTATGATATTGTACTAGTAACCCAAAAATAACTGACGATATATATATATATATATATATATATATATATATATATATATATAGGTCACAGTCTGTGTACAGATATTGCGCCATCACAACCGTGGGGGAATAGGAAAAATAGGATTAGAGCAAAAGAAGAAAGAAAAGAATAACGTTTGTCATTTTCCCATTCGCAGTTTGAGTTTTTTGGATGTTTATCTATTGGGAGAGAGAAGGGGAATCACCTGAACAAGCAATGGTACACGGTCGTCAGTGATTTCGTTTTCAAGCCCTGACTTCCATGGTTTCCCACCAGCGGCACTCAGCATCTTTGGGGCGCCGTTCTATGAGTCAAGAAAGACAAACAGAGGCCAACTGTTTCGTCAGCTTTTTCACCCTGCTTCTCCAACTTGTGGGCTGCCCACCACAGCGCCTACTCCAGCCTTGTCCAGCGACCGCGAACTAGGCACGACGGGGAAGACGCTGAACCAGCAAACGCAGTAGGTGTCCGAACCATCTTAGTTGACGCAGTGAGACAAACGCCTCGAGCAAGTGGCTGCTTCCACCCAAGACACGCTCACTGACTTAAATCTTGGTTACGTAGTGCAGCCAACACACACGGGCGATGGACCGCAAGCAAAGATTCTCAACGACAGACAATCGGCGCAAGTTATCCGTACAAGCAGACCAAATCTCGCAACCGTACAATAGTACAGCGCGGATGGTCGCACTACAACCCGCCCTTTGCTTAAGTCGCGTGAATGTAAGTAGCAGAAACGGTAGCCAATGAGCACGTTCCAGAACAGTCCACGGTTTCGTGAAAGGGTGTGATAGTATGTCTATTTACCGTTGGCTCTATATCAATTTACCAAACTGTTGAGATTACTACCTACTACCGCCCTTTTGATGGAGAGACGGATGTCAAGGCCGCGCCATAAATAACGCGGCCTGGAGAATGCGAGACGAGCTTCTGAGATGTGCATCGAATTCTCGTTTCCAACAGCCCCATCAGCAGTGATGCAGCTTCCCAGGTAGAAAAAACTACAAATTCCAGCGTCTCACCAACGATGTTGAGTGCAGCTCAAGCAAAAATGCTTCATCATTGGACGGCAAAAAGGGTCTGTCCGGGAGAAAAGAACGATGACCCGTACAATCCATTATTTTAGCAGTTACTCGATTGTTAAAGACCACGACATCGATTTCGAATGTTCTAGGATATTCTAAAGTCTGCAAGTAACCACCAACCTTCCTGAAGATCGGCCAAATCTATGGGGAACAACTAACGCTGGTAGCTGACCTTCTTATTTTAGAGATCGAATTTCGTGAGGTGACCTATGAATATGACCACGATCTGCCGCCTTTGTAAGCTCCAGTTTGACTGCGGTTAGCACGTTGTTTTTGGCAAGGTCTTTCTGACTATTTCCTTTTTGGGGTTTGAAATCTTGGGAAATAGATTAAGTGGGTGTTTCAGACTTGCAGCAAGTGAGAAGATCTTAAAAAATAGCGGTGGAGAAAACTGGGAATGTGCATTTTACCGTTGAACAATTTTTGAAGCTGCTTTTGTAGCAGCAATCCCAAATGGAAGCTCAAATGAAAAGGATTAAAAATTGGACAAATTCTTTGAGTTTGCAGTCTGCAGAAGCATCAGCACGAGACATGCAGGCGAATTCTGTTGATCTTCCTACTAATGCGATCAGTGAATTTAATTATGACGCAGATTCCAGTCGCACTTTTGAAGCATGGTTTAAATGTTGGAAAGATGTGTTTCGGACTGACTTCAGTCGTCAGGAAGATTTCTGAAAAGTGCGTTTGTTACTTGGCCAGCTCGGCACGAGAGAACGCTCAAGATGCATCGACCATATGCTGACAAAGGAACCAAAGGAACAAACTTTCGACGAAGCGGTGTCACAACTCAGTGAAATATTTGGTGAGTCAGCTTCTCTGTTCAGCATTCCTTATCAATGCCAAAGGTTTATCAAACGGGAAACGGACAATTAGCTTGCTCTGGCAGACGTGGTTAACCGTGAGTGTGAGCGTTTCAGGCTATGATCTTTGACGGACGACCAAGTTAAATATATCATTTTCGTCAGTGCTTTGCAGTCCCGTTGTGATGCCGAGATCTACACGAGGCTTCTTGCTCAGCTTGATCAAGACACAGATTTGACACTAAAGGCTCTTGTTGGCGAATGCAAGCGATTGATCACTTTGAAGCACGACATCGCCATGATCGAACAGTGTCACATTGAACCATCCGATGCTCTCAACGCTATGAAAAATCCCAGGACGATTAGCC